AGCAGGAGGAGGAGGAGGAGTAGGAGTAGTAGGAGGAGGAGCAGCAACAGCAGCGGCAGCTTTGTTGTTGCCGTTGTTGCTATTGCTGTTGTTGTTGCTGCTGTTGCCCTGCTTTTATTCATAGTATACATTTGCAGGCAGTAAACGCCGTAAAGACCTGCCACTGTCAAAGTCGGAACTTCAACAGTATGGCCGTTGGCGGTTTAGAGGTCCTATAGCGGGAGCAAAGCGGGATCCTGCAGGGCTGAGGAACAATCAGGCCTAGAATTTGCCATAGATATCCATATGAATACTCTCGTATGCACAAGGGATGAAGATTAAAAGCAAAGGGCCTGTAAGATACGTTCTCCATGACGTTCGACCACCCGAAGTCTGCCAGCTTCGCATGCATGGCCTGTTGCATTCCAAAGCTGGGATGGAGCTTACAATCCTCTAAAAGTAAATTGGTTGCACACGTAGGGGGGTACGTACAGGAAGCACACTATCGGTCTACCACTTCTTGGGTATACTGTCTTTGAGTCAGGTGAGCCTGCACGCGTTGCTTTAGCGACAGCACGACGTCCTACCGGCGTAAAATATTCAATGCAACTGTCCCAGGCTACTTATCATTGCGGGTGTTTGGCCCTCTGAACTACGTTTTGTGGGGCTTTCGTTCAATGGTCACGTGTCGGCGTTTCATGTGACGTGTTTCCCCTTCACCTTTCACCATGACTCCGGTGCTTGCCTACTCTTTGACTGAAGGTCCAAGCAAGCTTCGTGGTCCTCAATGTGCAAACTCTACCCAGACCCCAGATCCGACATATGCCCCTGCACCCCACCGGCCTTGTCGAGGAGGATGTTCTCAGGCTTTATGTCCCTGGATATGCAAAGCATTTGACACAGCTCTCAGGCTATATGTCCCTGGATATGCAAGGTATTTTGCACAGCTTACCGCCAAGGTGCTAATGCCGGGCACTAGCTCTTATCATAAGAAGCTTTTGCTCTATGACACCGAAGAGGCATGGCTGAGTGTCTCATCTACACTCCATGCGAGAAGGGTTGAACAAGTTCAACAGTTTGTCCCCGTTCTATCAAAGATTCCTTCCCATTACCACTGTTCTGGTTTGAGAGCATCCAGAGCATTTGCCCTCAGATGAACTCCATAGGAAGATTGGGAACTGAATGCTACGCCCTCGGCTCGGCCCTCGGCTGCAGGCTTGCTAAGCACTCCAAGCCCAGGCGCCGGTGGATAATCTTTGGGTCGCGATTGTGCAAGTAATCCAGTGCATCACACACCTTCGGCACAGTTGAGGGTCTTGATGTGTTTGGGACGTACTGGCCGCAAGACTCAAAGAGAGACACTTAAGTAATATCAACAGTGCATGTCTTTCAACATGCTGCTTGTGAAGTTCCAACAGAAGCGAAGAGGGCATAAAGGACCCCGAGTGTGCGCCTCATAGAAGTGCTGGGCGGAGAGCTCCACCGTGAACTTGCCAACCTGACCCGCTTGGGAGCCATGCTGTTGGTGACCTAATTCCGTTGCAGGCGCCTGGTTTTTTTTTTATGTTCTGCATAAAGCGTAGGGGCGCGCGTAAATTGCTAAGCTCATTTTGTGCCTGCCTAGCCCGTCTACTGAGCAGCATGCCTCGTTTTAGCCCCGAGCCTCGCAGCACTGACTCCATCAAACTTGAAATCCCTGAACGACACTTCTTTCCGTCGCCTTGCTGAGGAGATCAAACATGCCACCCCCTTCGGCAAACTCCTGAGTAGTGCGGAGGTTGCAGATGCTGAGGTCAAACCCACTATTTCCAAAGCAAGAAAAACACCGTCAGGGTCCAAACCATGCGTTGCGGGGGTTCTCACACGCTCCTAAAAGTTGCATGCAGGCACTCCGCCACTTTGCCAGCAGGAGACCCCCTCCCTTCCAACAAGCTAATTTGATAGGCTCAAAAACAAAGAGTCCTCGAAGTCTTCTTTTACGTCAAACCTGAAGGTAGTCCCTCAACCAAGCCTAAGCCATCAAGCCTAAATCAAGAAGGGAGTCCATGCCCAAGAAAAGGTGGCTCTCATCTTCGAAGCCTCAGCAAACGGAGCACTGCAGACCTGAAAGAGAACTTCTGACTGAGGTTCCAGAAATTGCAGGATCCTTTCTTCTGTTCAAGGAGTCTCTGCGTCTTGGTGGCTTTTTTGGCCCCCTCATTTTTGTCAACTACCATTTCATGCTTCAGAAGAATTACCACAAGGCCTCATATGGGGCACAGGCACTGCCACTCTTACTACAGTACAGCTACGGCCAGGGCTTTGACTCCAAGCCCTAGGCTCAGATCATTGCGACCTCAACAACCAAAATAATGCCCAATGGCTTCAAGATCTCTGACGAAAAGTACCCGGAGGCTCGCCCATGGACAGTTCAGGTGTCCGAGGCTCTGAAGTGGAGCTCCACAATGTGCGGGTGTCTCAGGCTTCGCATGATGCTTATCCTCGGCTAGCGCACAAGTGGAACAGCCATCTCTGAATCTGAATGCTGGCCGGGCTACGCACACGCTTGTCAAATCTTGACTGTATGACTGCTCTGCTATCTTGCGCAGGCATTGGTAGCCAGTAGCAACTGCACGTTCAGCCCAGCATGCTCATGAAATCCACATGCCAGCATCAGCTCAGACTCTCTCTGTGCATCTGCTCGGTGAGGCTGTGCTGCCTGATTTCGGGATGGTTTGCTGTCGGCATTTAGGCTTACAGCTGAGAAATGTACCGGCTTGAGGTCTGCAGTGGTTCGGGCCTATTCTGTCATTAATGAAGCCCAACATTGCAGCACCGTTCTGCATCAAGTTTGGCTGCAGAAGGCACCCATCAGCTAGAGAACCACCTTTTTGTTCTACGCATCGCTAGCTCTCTCAGCCCTGCCCCACAAACAAGTCGCAGCCCGTACGGTACCCAGATACCCGGCCACATACACAACACAGGTGCAGCATGAATGATCCAGCTTTCCAGCTTGGATTGGAGAACCGGTTGGGAAAGGCTAATGATACAATGCCTCCGCACCCCGGGTTTCAGGGGCACGTGCTAGTAACTTACTGGTTGCCAGTCAAGACCTGAAATCTCAGGAGAACCAACTGATGCAAGGACTTCCTGCCATGTGATCTCCATTCGGGGCTTGCATCCAGGCTGCTGAACCAGCGACTTTGGTATCTTCTTTACCTGTTTCTGAAGATTGCTGGGGGGGAACCCATCCCAGAACTCCTCAGGCTTCTGTGAGGTTGCTCTGGACAGAATTTCTCAGACGAATTTTGGTTCGGAACACCCTTGTGCATGCGAAATGCCGGGCGGCCACGGATAAGGGGGCTTGTAAGTGCAGCTATACTCATGCAGTAGAGCATGACCGACTAGTTATGGGAGAATAAGGAACTGGTAGTGGGTATCGCCCCCAGTGCGAGACAGCTTGCCTGTAACAGATAATATGGGAAGCCAGAAACTGATCATTGTCGCTACAGCGTGACTTGTACTAGTGTACTGAAACTATAGTACAAATCATGCGAAGACCACAGCATGGCCGAGTGGCAGCCCAAATCAGCGAAGAGTGTGCCTTCGCGGGGCGCATGCAGCGCCTGAGGCCGGTACGATTAAGGTAAGAATGGACTGGCCTCCCCGAGCCAACCATTTTGCATGGTTTTAAGCTGGGGCCATAACGTACTGCTTGTGCTGCTTGGGGCTGAGCGATATCAATCATGAGGATGCGGCAGTTGCCGTTGCAGGCTCCTTTCCAGCCCCATAAATATGCTAGCATCTGCCAAACATGGCTGGGGCGGGGAGGTTGATGGAAGGGTCACGTGTGAAGAAGGTCCTCGCAGGACTTTTGATGTGGAAGGCAATGCGTACTGACTTTCCACTCATTTGGTTTTTCTCCGACTTTCGAGAATGGCTGGCTACCTGCAGCAAGAACTTGCTCGTGGCGAAGCAGCTGACTTCCGGACTTTTGCTGGGCATTCGCCATCTGATTCAAGGATTGAGTCTTGAGAACGGAAGGGTCTTGCGTGGAAAGCAGGGCCAAGATTTCCTTGAGAACTTCCTCCAGAAGTGACTGCACGGCTCCCACGGCTGCTCCATAAGCAGATCCCAAGCCCCACCGAGCTACTGAAATCCCCTAAGCACGAAATCCGGACAATGAAGCCCAAACCTTAAACTCCAAACCCTCATCCTGAGCCTGAAGAGTTTATGTTGGCCCGAAGAGGGCTCTGGCAGGTGTATGCTGCCGTCTTATTGTATACCTATCAAATTGCTCAGGGTTCTACGTCAAGTCTGGCCCTAAGTCCCAGACCACACTTCGCCGAAGTAACCACGGCCCAGAGGCTTCTTATCCCAGTCCATGTCCTAAGTCTGCAGTTTTGATATGGCATGAGACACAGCATGCGCAGAATTTGCTCTGCCTTAAGGCAAACATGCCAACAAAGCTATGTGAAACCACGGATCTTCAACAATTGACATGTCAGAGACAAATGGGTAAATGCACTTGAACATTTGCACATCACTAAACCATCCTCGTAAGCTAGATAGGTTACGGGCTCCAATTTTTGAGCATTCGGCCCTTAGTCCTGCCAACCCCCCAAAAAGCCATGGTCTTGAGAGCTGCGAGCCCATTTGTTGAAGCCACGGTTCAGTCTTGCACTTTGGCCAGGGCATGCCATCTGCAGCAGTGGATTGTGCTGCGCCCGCCATGGCGCAACGCGTATGCTGACAATGGGCACTCAAAACAAAGCGATGGGGCCTAAGCAGTAGGAGCAGGGCTGTGAAGGAAAGACCCTGATTGGTAGAATCACGGAGGCTATCCTTCACACCCACCATACTTGGAGTAGCCAGGCCAAGCGGCCAGTGTGTAAGTCTACGCTGCCCATCTCATCAGTATCAGGTGCGTTTCGGTTGATGCTACAAAACACCATAAAACACCTGCACGTTCTTTCAAGAGGTCTTTGAGGGGCACCCTCAACCACTATGGATCAAACATAATGATGACCAGTAGGATTGTCTCGAGATTAAATGCTCGCAGGCGGAAAAAGTCCAAGGCATGGGCCCATAAACGTCTTGGTCTGAACAGCGGTGTAGTAGAATCAACGCAAGGTTTTTAACCAGGTGCTGCTGGGTTGGGCCAATCTCGCATCTCTGCACATCTGCTTCGTCTCACGTACTGCTTTGCCATGATCCATTTGTTATTGAGATTTGGTGTGAGGGCCATGCACTAGCACGTTGCTGACATTCTTCGCTGTTAGCTCGCTCAGCGGAAACGTTCTAAGGAGAGTGGGCGTGCAAATTCTTATGCGCACTGACTTCTAGCGAGCCTCCATTCCGCACAGAATCGGATCCAGCTACATCTCTCCATCATGCCAGCTCCCTGAACAGTGCAGGACCATTTGGATTTTAGAGGGGATATCGGGATTATATGCGCGGTCGACGACTTCAGGCTTTCTCAAGATTAGGGTCACAACCGAATATTTTCATGAGGCGGAGCATGGCAGAACTTTGAAGATTCTAAATCCGCACGTGTCTTGTGGCCATTGAGCATTCAGGCGTTGCTTAGAATTTGGTGCTGCGATGGTTGTAACTTCTAGTTGATGTTTGAACTGTTGCCACAGCTGTTCTTGGCTTCTTACTGGCTGTCATTATCTCCTGACTAGGCGAAACTGGCACGTTTGGAACACGCTTGAAGACTACGACAGAATCCACTTTTTGCACACCAGCTTGCCATTGTATGATTCACCTCATTCCAGGAACAGGCGGAGCGTTTGCTCAGCAAGACCGCAGCGCAGGAAGAAAGCATACACATGTCACGAGCGACACGCCCTGTCGCCTGCTGACTTTGAGTACCATGCTAGCTGTGCTCTTTGCGACCTCACTTGCTGCCTCAAAGACACTCTGATTTTGGATTACGGCTGGATTGCGGGGAGATAGCGTGACCAGAAATAGCCGGTCAAAACCAGAATCCTGCACAGAAATGGGCTGTGTTGGTCAACCTGCTAGAGCGTAACTGTTTTCTCACACTACAGTCACCAGACGTTGGGCCTTGCAGAAGCTGCGCGAGCAAATGAGCTCTAGGGATGAGGACAGGAATCCTGACGATGCATGGTTCCGGAAACGTCCTGGAACCCGTAGCTTGACTCCTTGACATTGCACACTGATTCACTGGCCTTAGTAGTGTTAAAGAAATAGCCCGGCCTGGGCAACTTTGGCCCCTGCTGGCAAAAATGAGGGCCACTGCATCCAAACCCTGATCTTTAAACTCTGAACGCGAAACTGTACTCCCTGCACCACATACACCCCAAACGTACCATGCTCAAAGCATGTATGGCATGCCAGGGCTTGGATTCATATGATACATGGCCTGCTTGCGGCCTCCGCTGGGACTGCCACAATTCTGAGAACAAAGCCTGAAGCATGACATCGGCATTAACTTATGGGGAGATTTTTTTTAAATAGTTTTTTGTTCAACTGGGTTGAGGTTGATGCTGAAATGCAGACCCCAGATCGTACGTACAGGACTACATGACTGCAGGGAAAGCCGTCAACAAATATTCAACTCCCTCTATTGCGCGAGGTTGAACATCTAGAGGGACTGTCCCCTAATCGTCCTTCTATGGCAACTGTAGAATACACCCTCAAGCCTTCCTCCAGTATGCCAGTATGCAAGAGCTGTCCAGCCGATTCTCGAGTTCAGTAAACATGCTGCATTTGCTTTCCCGTTCTTCTCTACAGCATGTCAAGCTCCGTCCCATCTTGCCAGAGACATGACAGCAAGGGTTTAGGCTATCTTTTCAGCAAGCTGAAGTCCTTGGGAGCTTACAGCCGCTGACTTTGCACACAGATCATTCATGCTGCTCTCTCCTAGGGTTTAGGGCTTGTAGGCGCACGCCAAGCTAGTGAGAGCGGCTGCGGACTCCACGTCCGTCTTTTGCAGTACTCTGTCCAGCACCTGGGCTGGGCTTCCCAAAGCTGGTCCCTGATTGGAGTCCTGGTGAAGAACATAATCATGGACTGGAAATACAGGAGGAGATATGGATATGAGCTACAATCGTGCAGCCCACTCGCAATGGGGATCTGAAACGTGATAAGGACAAGGCTGCACTGAAGTTCGCAATGTTGGCACTTACAACTGGGCTACAACTGCGTGCCTAGTGCTATGGCTCAGCACTGGAAACATGTTGGAGTTTCTCAGAAAGATGTTTGAGCTGTCTGTCGCCCTCGCTGAGATTCTGTCTTGAAATGGCTCTCAGACCCTCAGCAGCAACCGTAAGACTGGCGTAGCCTTGACTGAGACCGTGCCAACAAAGCACGGGCACTGGCAGCATCATGGCAGCAGCATTGGGGGCATACGTGCTGATGCGGTGAATCTCAGCATAAGTTCTGTGAGGGATCTGGTTTCCAATGAGAACCATTAAGCACTCCACTTTATCTAGTCCAAAAAAAAATCTCACCACAAACCCTTCCCAGCAAATACACCTGATGCGCCGCCCATTGATGGAGGAAGTCGTGCACCACTTAAGAGAAGTGTGCAACGTTGTGCTTCCTAGGATATGGGATCTCTGACATCGTGCAAAATATCTATCTTTTGCATACCCAGGGTCAAGAGAATCTGAAGCCTTCAACCCCCACTTCCCAATCCCACCTCTTCGTTGTGCTCCTCCACGCGCAGCTGTGCCACCGTCTTGCTCCCCAAGAAACGCTCCATCGCATACTTAAGTGCCATCATGGCCTGGAGAATTGTAGTGAAGGAGCTGCCGGGTTACTTCTAGGTTGCTGCTGTAATCTGCTATGCTACTGAATAAATGAATAAATCTAGGGCTCTGTTTAACCTAGAGCCGGCACTTTCAATTGGGGAGGGGGGTGAAAACTGGCAAGCTTCCGTGCGGCCCTCTTCTAAGGGCCCTTAGGATTGATCTGAAGGGGGTGTTCCGGATTGTAATGCCTGAAACACATTGAAGAGGGTTTTCAAACATGAGCCTGGAACTCTTCAAGTGGTGCCGAAAACGTTATCAATAGTCCCCTCATTAAAATGAAGGCAACAGTAAAGGCCTGATGGGTCAAGGTTTCGATTTGGGCGATGCTTGGGAGCATCGAAGTTTAGGCGGCTCAAGAAACATGAGCGTGCGGGCCCTCTTCAAGTGCAAATCGCTTGTTGGGTCCTACCCTGCCGTAGTTTAGGGGCTCCCACTGCCAACCCCCAATGTGCAGAACACATCTGAGCAGGAAGACTGCATGATGTACGCCCTGCGCCGAAATGGAGTTAGGTAGGTAACCTCATGCTTCATCTAAGACAGGCCAGTCGGGACATTGCTGAACTTTGCATGCTTCTCGGGGCCCAAAAGAGGCTACAGCAGACCGGTGAAAGCCTCAACAGAAACATCAACACTTTACGCGGCTGCGGCGCTCTCTCGCTGAGAATAAAGGCGATAAGCTGAATTTTGAACGGGAGGTTCTCAAGGTTGAACACAAAGAACACCTCAGTCCAAGCAGCCACTCACATTGCAAACAGAGAGTCCGGTAGGTCCACGCAGCCGGGAGGCTATGTAGCAGGTGCATGTAACGCCCATGTAAGCGATGAAGATCAGAATGGAGTTCCAGGAGCCTATGCCCTCCTCCACCCTGGGGAGGACCTGAGCGACTTCAGGCTTGCTTCCGCTGTATTCTGCGGTGTGAGCGCAAACTAGGATCCACCATAATCTTTGGAGCATATGAAATTTTCCCTGCTAAGCAAGGCATGGGGTATGCACAGAATCCCAAGATTCCTGCACAACTTGTTGGGCAGGAATTCCAAGATCTCAGGGCTTGCTTTTACTTTACTGGTCATGGAAGCACCCCGCAACGGCCTACAGAGGTTGTAGGTCCACCCACTTCCCACATCAAACGTTTCATGATGGCACATACCCAAGTAAAAGGGACCGCTTGGCATCTGCACCGATTGATGTCCCAACGCTTCTCCCCTACTTCTTAAAAGTTCTCACCAAAATTGTTGGGCTCCCTTGTTGCTGTCACTTCCCGTACGTTCCGGAAACAACCCCAGACCACGTGGACTTGAGCCTCGGCAGGCTATTAAGCCTGGACCTGCAGCTTTATCATGGCCGTTTGGACATGTGCCAAAATACGGGTCCCTTCTTACAGGTCTTTACGTTAAGAGCTGTCTGGATTGGGTAGTGCAGAAGCTGAATTGGGCTGACGCAGGGAGGTTTACCCAACTTCGCTCCAAGCCACTCTACGATGCGCGTAGCAAAGCTTGTAGGCCAAGAGCCTCTTGACCACGAAGTTGGACAGGAAGCAGAGGATGCAGATGACAGGACACGTCACGCCAAACCTCGGCAAGTAATCCTACTCTTTGGGAAAGGGGGAGATTAAATATGGACTAGTACAGGATGATTATGCCGCACGCCCTTCCCCATTCCCAACCCAGCATGAGTAGGTAACGTAATGAAGCTTGCATCTGATACCGCACGCACAGGAATCAGGGGTGCAGAACACCAGGCGACAAGAAACTCACCAGCCAGGACAAGCACCACATGCCAAAAATACATGGCCCGGCAGAAAAGAGGGAAATCGCAGTAGGCACTCTATTTTGTGCACGAGTCTGCTGCTATGTTGAGGCATGCAAGCAGTCTGAGGATCAAGCATGGCGATGAAGCCAAAGTTGAGTGCCAGCTGCATATAGTCTTCTATCTGCTCCTTTGGCGTGGTGGTCAAATCTAATGACACCTGCTACCCCCAAAGCCAAGAAACACCGCCGAAGGAACAACTTGCCCTGTGCACCCCCCCAAGGTAACACAGCCATGCAGAAATTGCCATGTCTTTGTGCCGATTACTGATTACTGTAGGTGGATGGACTCTTTTCTCCAACAGGTGTTGTACACTCAGCGATTCAAGAAGACCGTCGTCGGCCAAGGTGGTTCAATGAAGTACTGAGTGTCCAAGGATCAAGGCCATTTTGTGCGTCAACGCGCGAAATTGGAGGGATGAGTAAGGGAGGTTTTCTTGTACACTGCAACCTCAGCAGCCCTTTATACAGCATTTGAAAGAAGCTTACACAGGCCCTCCTGAAGCCTCAAGCCCTTTACCCGACGCCCTGCACCCCAACGCCATCCAAGGGTCTGCTTCACCATATTCTGGCATCATGGCCTGCGCACCCAGCAGTTGACCACAGCCCCACGCAGCAGTTTCTCAAAGTCACGGTCTCCCTACGTACCCCAAAACCAGTTTCCCTAATCCCCTTGGCAAATGCCCAGGGAGATGCCTCTCTGTACGCCTCTCTACTTTACTGACCCACCCGGGTGCCTGAAGCTCCAAGTATGTCAGATCTTTGTCCTGTCCTTGGCCGTTTTGCAGCCGCATGCGAAAAGGAATTCTGAAACTCATATTCTGGCTCAGCTGAGAGATGTGCTCTCGGTTTGGGCTGCCCCCTGCCTTCAATGAAGGAACTGGTACAGTAGCAGCTCTGCCTGCAGGAATCTCCGAAAATCCAACTCCCAAAATGTTGATACAAGCTTCGCCGATTTTTCAGCTCGGAATGGACTGTCCAGTACGTCATGAGGACTGCCAAGACCACTTCGAAAGCTTTGCATGCCACCTTCAGTCCAGCACAGCGGTATCAATGCAATACGAAAGCGCTTCCACCGTTGTGAAACATCCAGACGTAAAGCAATGGGTTCACTTGCAGCTCTTGCTGCAGAAGGCTCTGCCAGTTAGGTATGTCGTTGGACAGGGATTCCAGTGTCAAAGAAAAATGTACTTGACTGGTTCTTTCATATGAGAATAACATCTCCCACTGGTCTGATCTCCTACCAGCCAACAACTTTACAGGGGGTGTAGCAGGGAATAAGGGAATATGTGATGTACGCATCATACAGGGATTAGATTCCCTGATTCCCTCTACTATAACCACCAGTAAGCAACAGCAACTTCAATGAACAAATCTGCCCGAACTGCCTGGGTCAGGAAGAGGACTTGCAAATCCTGCCGCAGCTTCAGGAGGCAGCCTCAACAACAGGAAGCACGCCAAACAACTGACTAATTGAGGCACAGCCACAGGGCCATACCCATCCCTCAAAAGAGCCATAGGAATAGCACTGTGCCCCTTGAAGTCGTCCATGTAATTCTAGGACAGACATACGTGTATGAGAACGCTGTAGCTTGCAGCGACTAGCGGCATTGATTGCCATGGCAAGACTTGAAGATGCCAATTCCAAGCCTCGGAATTCTCCACCATCGCAGCCTTCTTCATAAGGCTGGATGAAGATGGTGTAGGCAAAGGGGTAGTAGTACACCATGAACCTCTGAGGCTTCACAGGCTCCCTGCTCTCCTGAACTTTCTGCGACTTCACGTTTCTCGCACCCTGGCAAGGAGGGCAACAGTATTGGATGGACCAAGGAGGAGGGACCGCCGACCCGAAACTCCGCCAACTCTCGGCTGAGGAGCTTCACGACGAAAAGCTTCACAACCATCGAGGACTTGAGGTCGATGTCCGTTCGGAAGTTCTCCTTTCTGCCTTCATGTCAAACCCTGGGACTCTAAGTCTGCAAATGTGACTTCTTTCACGGTCGAAAGTTGGGAACAGTGTAGGCTCAGGATCCTATTTGCAGCCCTTGCATGAGCAGGAGGAGGGCTTTACAATCTGGAGTTCGTTTAAGGCCCAGGGATTTTCTACTGTACGGGCTTCATCCTCCTAGGGCGCTCTGAGTGCGAATGGCCCCGGAGGCAGGAGCTGGTTCCATACCCTCTGGCCCACAGTACATTATTGTACTTTCCAACCCATTTAATCAAAAAAGCCTCCCACAAACATGCTGGAAATGCTGGGAGCCGTCTCAGAGCCATACTGAAATTTTGGGGTGGGGTGAATAGGATCCATATGTCAGAGCATAAGGTGCGCTGGAGTGCACTATCGGAGTCAATAATTTGAGTAACAGACCCCTACAGCCACCAGTTCGGAAAATCTCAAGCCTCTGCAACGACAAGGGGCTTAAGTGGCACTACCTGCCATCCAAGAGCCTTTCATAAGCTAAATTCAAACGGAGGCCACCTTCACATGCTTTGAGAGCCATGGGACCTAAGGGCCTTGACGGGCATCACTTGCGCGAGCGCCCTTTGTCAAAGACTACCCATGCCTCTGGAAGCCCTTTGGGTCCCCTCTTTGGAATCGTTCATTCATTCTGTCGTTGCCAAGACGCTAAGCCAAGTGGATAGCGGCGTCCAGATAAGGTCCACGATCTTGATGTTCAGGGTCAGTGCCTAGGGGAGTGGTTCCAAATAGCAAGCTTCGTACAATGAGCCAAGACTTTCAGTCCAAGTCACATACTTGTACAGCAAGATCATGGTTGTGTTCGGTATCCCGAATGTCACATCATCAGGGTTATCCAAGATGTCCTTCCGTAGGTGAGTGAGGTACCATACCACGGAGATAGTCTCCATGATGAAAATTCCACACAAGATCCAGTGGCTGATTTTCTGTAGGGATTCCCGGATGGTCCTGGGCTGAATATTCGCACAGTTCGGAGCTGAAAACAGCCTCCACTTATGAAACTTTAATGCAAAGGAGCAATGGCAATATAGAGTGCATAGTCTATGTGCGACATCCATTCTGCAAAATGTGGTTCGCCCTCACAGCTGCCATGAATGCCAAAGTCTCCCGCGGTACTCGTCGCTGAATTCCTTCCTGACCTTATTGCATCTGTGACAGTCTGCGGCGAAGTTGAGCTCTCGCACGAAACAGCACCATGGGGATAACATAGTGCTCTAGCGAACGGTTTTAGCAACTCCTACCCAAACATCAGAGCCACGGTTAGAATGGATAGGCACTGATTCATGTATCCGTTTGTGAGGCGCAACTGGGTCAACAGTACCAGGCCAAACAAGGGAAACTTTGACCGTGACGAAACTACTGCACCGCCATAGCCTCCCTAAATCTCTGCGTTTCATAGGTTGGATTTCTGGCGGGGGCGCAGTCGAAAGAAGCTGGGCAATTACTGGGCCTGCAGAGCCAACATCATTTCTCTGGCAGGTGCCGGAATGCAGCTTTGCTGGTTTGAGAAGGCAATCCCGGGGGTTCAGGGCCAGTGGTTGCTCAGTGGGATCCTAAGCCACATTGCAGTGCCAAGTGGCGGGCACAATCTCCTGATGCACTCCACTCATCCCCCAGCGGAAAATCTTCAGGTTCAGCAATTGTTCATACCTGGCCTTGGTGCAGGGCCCTCTATGACGAGGATTGCTAGCACTGCAAGGTCTCCTGAAGTACGTTCTTCCTCTTTCCCTTCTGTGACCCGCTCAGAGTTGGACGCTGCCAGCTGTATGCATTGGTTCACACTATCCCAGGCCAAAACAACTAACCATTTGAAACCGGGTCATCTGTGCTTGTGTCCAGCTTGTGCCATTGTTGTACCCGGTAGTTGCGCAGACCGTGCTCTGAGGTCGTTACGCTTATGTCAAAACCCCCTTGATACTACACCAGCTGCTTAACCTAAGCATTCGTCAGATGCCCAGCAGCGAGGAAGACAGTGGTCCAAATGCAAAGCCCGAAGCCAAAGATGGAATCCATGAGCGTGATCTGCAGGGCTTGCCCAAGTTTGCGAAAGGGAGTCTGCATGTGCATTCAGATTTACGTATGCATACTGATACGTACATATAAGTGCAGCATGCTGAACATAAAGCATGCGTGCGTGCAGGCAGGTATGTATTTTACCATGTCTACTACTATGTATGCACGCATGCAGGTGCTGTGACGCAAAAGGAGGTTGGTCATATTTCTTGGGCCCATCTTGTCACCCAGGCCCGAGGCCAGGATTGTATGCGTTACTCTGGGTACAACTGAAGAAAGATGCTGGAGGGAAAGCCAAATGTTGAGAAGCAATAGCCTGGCAACGGGCTCTGTACCCCTCCTATTACAATCTTCGTGCTCCAGGAGCCCATTCGCATAACAATTTGCTATACCTTGCTTCCAGAATTCCGCCTGGTTGCAGCGAATGGCTGTTGGGGGGATTGATATCTTCCTCGCCCAGTTTCCAAAGAGAAAGGTTGACCACAGCAAATAAGAATTCAGTTCCACGGCAGCATAGTCAAAACAAGTTCCAGATCATCCACTGGCTCACTGGCTGCTTACCAAGAAAGACCCCCTTTTGTCGTTGGTCCACGCTCAACAAGCCTGTTGACGATCTAGCTTCCCCGTCTGGCGTACAATATAGACCAGGACGCTGAGCAGAGCAGGTACAGAAACCCACCTGTCGCCCAAGGGGAATTGGATACAAAAGAGGGGCGGCTGTTTTTATGACAAGCATATGGTAAGGATAGACTGCTGGGCTACAGAGGCTTGTGGCACTTGAATGCAGGCTTCTGTTCCCACACCGTATGTAGGCTGTGAGAAGCTAGCGGGGTCATGTTACATCATGCTCACTCGTTGGAAGATGGCGCGGCTGGTACTGCTGAGATGAACACAAGTTCCCCCAGTGATGATGCAGCCCATGCATGCACGACATCCGGCAAGCTAAGCTTTGTCTCCACATAGCGAAAGTTCTGCGTTGCATGGGTCAGGTCAGATCTGGCCTGCCCTTTCACATTTGGCCCTCTGTGTAACAACACTCAACACTGCACTGTCGTGGTGCCACTGTCCCGTCGATCATGTGGGCCGTGACGTCATGAAGCAGCTATTACCTGACAGCATGGCCTTGTGAATGTGTTGAAGAGGTGGAAGAAGTATCCCACCTGACATGGGTAAGGATCTGACATTCCATGAAGAAGTTACAGAAGCTCAGCGTTTGTGCCTCTTGGTTGGCGATGGGATTTCAGGATCCAATGATCTCAATTTCTTCTGTGGCGGCGCTTGTGGCCCAGAAATCCCCAACCCCTCTGTCAAACATGCAGGGCGTCCTGCACTCCAGTGTACTCGGCAATGTAGTCCGTGATTCCTTCCCTGGGCCAGTAGAACCTGCAGCATCCAGCTCTTCCGCGTTCATCGCGGTTGAAAAGACACTTTAGCAGAGAACCAAGAGTACAGTGGAAACCTCAGTAGTTCATCAAACGCTGCCCGCATGCAATCTGAAAGGAAAGCGCGTCCCTCACCTTGTTGGGATGATCGCAAGAACGCAGCTCCAGGCAAGTGCGTCAAAGCATTCCCCCAGCCATGATTTTCGACAATCTCACTCCCGGATGAGTAGGACACGCGTGCAGGCCCTATGTAGCTCTGATCCGTCAAGCAAGGCGCATTCGCATTGGATCGTTCCACCCTCGCTGATAGAGCTGATCAAGCTCCTGTCAGATGTCTGGCAGGTTGGTTCCGACTATCCAATTCCGCTCACCCAAAATGAGTTCCTGCCCCAAAAATGCAAAATAGCGGTGAGCAACGAAAAGCAGCACTGGCAGTAAATGAGTATAACTGAATCAAAGTACGGCTCCATCTTTGTGCCTAAATTCACCATGCGCCCCGAACAATTTGCCTGGCAGGACCTTGGGAACCTGCATGATGTGCAATATTATCTCACTCCCAATCCGGCATAAAAACCGCGAAGATCGAGCAGACTACAGCCCACCTGGTGACGTCACGGGTTGCTAGGAGTGTATGCCAGATGGCTGCTCCAAACTCTTCTGATTCAACCGGTCCTTCCAATGATGCACTGCGAAGAATTTGGCGATGATGCCAGCCTCGGGGCTTTAAGGGCCGTTGTTTCTGGTTGGAGACGGAACGGCATGCTGACCGCAGCGATTCAGGGAGATCAAGCATTAAACTTGTTGTAGCGCACGAAGACCCAATGCCACTTCTGTGTCTGACCCAGGCCTGTGGGCCATAATTGTACCAGCACTAGCTTTGCCAACCTCTTTCAAGCATCCCAGGCTTGGTGTTACAATCTGAATCTAACCTCAAAATCTTTGCTTTTCTACTGATAAATTCTGCCAGAATCAAAGGCCCGGAGGTGAATCTGAAAAAACCCGAAGCCAGAATGCGCGACTGGCATACCGCTACACGTAGCAGCTATACAAGTGGCTTGACCTGTACTGCAGTTACCAAAATTCGTGGCTTCCTCGTGTCGAAGAACATAGAAAGCACTCTTCTCGTCACGTTTGGTTACGACTGCTGGTTGGGTCTTCTAGAAGCAGTGACTGAACAGCTGTCAGATAAAGCTACTGTGTTAGTCTAGGTAGATACAGAGGGGTTGCCGTACATATACCTCCATATACACACGGCTTAAACTTCTTTCATACCTTGAAACAGCTTGTTATCTTGCGTCCACCCACATTGGCCCGAGTTCGCTCCGTAGCTGAGCCCGCAACCCGCTCCAACTCCGTCATATTCCTTTGGGCTTCTAGGTGAGCTTGTCAACATGAAGGCCGTGTGCAAACCTCCATACAACCTAGTAAATGGTACCACCAAATCTCACAAAGGACCCTTCAGTTTTTGAAGCACAACACAGCAGTGAAAAAACAGTTTTAGGAGTGGTGCTCTGAGGATTGGCCTCCACATGATGCTGCGTATCAGGGGTGTGTCTCTGTCAGCACCTGAAAGTGTCAATTCAATTTCAAGCTTCAGGCATGGTCAGGACTCAGGCAAACACAGTGAGTCCACTATGTTGCAAAACTTCAGCATCTGGATCATGCGTGAAGGTCATGAATCCCTCTATGTGAAAGCCTTTCCAAATTTCAAGTGTTCCTGTCACAGCGTCCTTCATGGTCCACAATGCATGCTCTGGAGGGCTGTACTCCTCTTCTGTTTGAGACCCTGTCTACATTCTCGCAGGAGCCAGGGCCGAGCAGTGAGATGCGCAGCTTTCATAATCAGAAAGGCGCTGGCAAGGCTTAGTGAAGGTGGCTTAGCTCCCCAAACAGCCTTTGCGAAGGTCGATCCCTCTACTGACCACATGGTCCACTGGTCAGGCATTTGGATTTCGTTTGAAAGTTCCTCTTTATAAGTGCCTCATTATCAGGTTCTCAGGTCCTATCAGGTCCTCCTTTCACTAGCCAGGAGAGACGTGGCAATGGGTCAAAACAAACGTCACCCAGCAAAATGCGCGATGAAGATGGGAGTTAGGCCAATCTTTAGACTTTGAGGATTGTCATTGTCGGCCGTGACTTGGGCAAAGCCATGACAAGGGCTATCTGATGTACACTTCATGATTATCGGATCCAAGAGCCACAAAGTCTTAACCTAAAACAGTTTTCCCCTGTGATGCCCATGAAAACCAGATAAGGCTCACAACGCTAGAGAAATGCCGACGGAAGATCCTCAAGATCTCCGTCTCCTGGAAGTCCTCTCAGTCTGCTTGGGCTAGTGGAAGAGACCACATGTCATGCTAACAGCTCTCCTAGTTAGCGTATCTAGTTACCATCCTACTTCCATATTGTGCTAGGCAAGCAATTAATACTCAGCTTTGAATGCCGAAGCACTAAACCCGCACACCTGAACTTAAGCAAAGTTCCAGGTGGTATGCTGTGAAGTCTGAGTACTGCGTGCAACAATGATTGGTGCATCTAGCTTGGATGCTGGAAGGGTTACGCTGCTACACCACAGCCGTCTGAACCATCAGTGCCATCAGGCCTTCATGGCACACGATTGCGACATGCATAACTAACAAGTCATTCTGGTGATGACGTTCAGGGAAAATGACTGCATTAAACCCGTTTACTACGTTCATTCTTATTGTTTCTGATCATGACAATGATAATCGCGAGGACGATTCATTCAACAGCCACCTCGCCATCACCAGGCCACTGCCGCTGCTACTCGAAACAGCACAGCGGCTCTTTCAGTAACCCTACTGCTCCAGAACCAGCAGCAGGAGCGATAGCAGCAGCAGTGGTGGCATCTGTGATGGCAAAACACATGACTGCAGGTGCGCAACAATTCGGACTAAACAATCATACAAAACCCTTGACGGGCCTCGAGCTTTTCGCATATAGGCTTCCGGAACATCACCTTAGCTCAAGGTCACCACCTGATCCTGGAACCGTTGTTCGCAGTGATGGAACCTGTATCTTTAGAAACGAAGTTTGGGGGGACTTTACCTTCCACACCTGTATCAATGTCATGTGTCAAGAACAGCCTGAATGATTCTGCAGGCTCCGAACACAGGAGGCCTAACATGTACCCTTGTCAGGCCCCGAAGGGTCAGCTAACCGTTGGAAAGGTAGATCGCGACCATCTGAGTCAACGCAGGAAGTAGAAGCGATGAGCCGAAGGTAGCAATGCAGCAAACAAGCTATGCCGTGTTAGCGCAACACATCCCAACAGCTAACTCCAAGGGCGAGTCGCGTGCGCAGGGCACTTGTTATCCAAAGGCCTCCCATTGAGACCGAGCTCTTCATGCTCGTGCGCATGGAAGTCCTTTCTGGGTGTCAGTAATTCGCGTTGGCACAAAAACTTTGGAAGCGTAGTGGGCTGTTCAACAACACCAACATCAGCTAAAACAGGAAGGTGGGAACGTTTAAACGGCTGCCGCCGCCCTGCCACCTTGTGACGTGCTTTCAGTGAAGTCTAACATGCTCGCTGAAAACCAGGCTAGACATCGCCATGAAAATTGCTGCAAACAATCTTCAGATGCAACGCCGCCGTAC